CCAAATTTTCGCCAAGTTACCATAATCCAAAGATCAACCAAAGTTTCTGTATGATTTGGAACAAAAGAGGAAAAGAGCATTAACTGACTGGTGTGTAAATGATGGTTTACTTAGTAGCCATAGTCTGGAACAACATAGTATATTTTTGGCTCTGTATTTTTGTGCAATTTCATGTGGACGACACCGGATATACGAGTTAATAAAAATTCGGATAATTTTTGGAAGTTTTTGGATGCTGCTATGGAATTTTGTGCGCCACAGACTGAAGATGCAGAAATTTCTAAATAAGGTAAGAGGATACAGTCAAAAGTCGTTAATCCGGACTCGTCAGGACTTCGGCGATTCCGGATTATCAATTTTTCCGGATTATAGATCATCAGTTTAAATCTGATAAGATGGCATGCAGAAATTATAAAATTAAAAATATAAAACCATAATTTATGAAATAAAGAGCAATTATGATCTAAAGGGTATCAAAATTTACAAAAAAAAGCTTAATATTTATTTGTTTACTTTATTAAACTAATGACGAGGAATTTGATTTAAATCATATCAAAGACAGAGTACATCGAGATGAAATACTACATTTAGTAAGGAATTATAAGCCGAATAAAATAAAAATATCTGCCCTGAAGATAAGGATAGTGCTGATAGATCAACTTCCAATTCATTGCGCGCCTCGACGCCCCCCCCCACAGTGCAGCATGGAATTGATAAACAGATTTCGGAATGGTTAGAGAAACAAAGAATATGCCTTTATCCATTTTTTGCAGCAATTCCACTTTATGTTTAATGGACTTCGAAACATACTTTCGCTTTGTAGAGCCTTTACATATTAGTAAATATATATCAGAAATTCTATTTGACATAATCGAAAGTTCAAGCTTACATTTATAAAATCGCACTAACAGTCTAAAAAAATAATAAGCTGGATCCAATTCAAAGATTAAGGAACAACGCAATCTGCAATATTAACTTAATTAGATAATTTTAGCTTAGCTTATACCATCCGTTATACATTAAACGCGCATTCGTAAACGTATTTTGTACATGCGCACACGCATATTCGCAGCCGTAAAGGTCTTACGCGCATGCGTCAAAGCGAAGCATGCACAGAAAGTTTGTAGCTTTGAGGTCCGGATTATGGGTGTCAGAATTAACGACTTTTGACTGTATTTGCTTTGTGTAGTGTTTAGATGCACAAGATGAATTTCCTTTTTTATGTTATTTTATAATTTGATTTAAAATGTAGTTGATCGAGATTACGTATTTTTTGTTTGGCTCTAGAATTGGGTGCTCCTTTGACCTTTTGAGTGAAAATAAATCGATGTGTACATGGACAAAGTGAAAGGAGTGTGCAATGCCCAGTTTGTGCAATTCTCTCGGGTTTTTTTTAAATGAAAATAGGTCAATGTGTACATGGATAAAGTTGGAAGAATGCACAATGCCAAGTTTGTGCAATTCTTTGATTTTTTTTTTTTTTTTTTCTTTAAGTGAAAATAGGTCGATGTGCACAAACTCGGTATCCATGTACCACCAAAAATCATCAATTTTCACCAAGGGGCACCCGTAAATATATTTTTACCGCAGCTTTGCTGATAATTTGATGTTGTAGATATTATTATAAACACTACATAATGTTGTGTTTATAATAATACCTACAACATCAAATTATTATAAACATTACATTTGCACTACATAATACTGTGCAAAACATCAGTTTCCTGATACATGATATGGCTGAAGGATCCTCAAGAGTCATGCAGATAAAATGTTTGCTATTTTGGCCCACAGGTTACACCATATAGCTTCCCCACACTCAACAATAGCAAATTCTCATTGCAATTGTTGGATCTTGAGAAACTGCATGGTACAATAAGCTGTGGTCTTGGTAGGCTACAGTTCTCCCGCAATCAAATTCTCATATATGCTGATATGAGTTCCTTCTTATGAGGTATAACACAACCTCTAAAATAAGAAAAACTGAGTAAACACAATTTTCAAATGAAAAATCAGAATTTCAGTCTGTTTACTTATACTACAAGGTAACCAAAAATTATATTTCATTTTTTAAATGACACTGAAAGAGTGAACCCCAACATAACAATAGTCGGCAAACCTTTGGGAGTCAAGACATTGACCAAGAGTATAAAAATGCGCTGCATTGGTACTTCATACATAACTCGCACAGCAACCAATGAAAATGCACGCATCAGAGACGCTCGTTTGGAGTTGTTTGCTGTATGATTTTAAAGCAATAGTTCCAGAAGTTCAGGTCAGGGGATACATCTCTTAGTGATGCATCACCTAGCGGTCGGATCCAAGCGCTGGATGATGAGGCCCTGAGAGCAGCCATAGAGAGTGACAGTAACCAAACATGTGGTAAGCTTGCTGCACACTTCCAGGTATCTGATGAAATGATCAGATGTCATTTGCACCGCATAGGAAAGGCATACAAGCTGAGCAAGTGGGTGCATCACTCACCGTCCAATGCAAACAAGCAACAGCGTGTCACTGCCTATTTGTCTTTGCTTACTCGACACTGCAATGCATCCTGAATTGATCAAGTACTCGCAGCAGTTGGAATGTGTGCATCAGGCACTGATGCATAAAGAGCTAGCATTGGTAACCATTAGGGTGTACTCCTTCTCCATGACAACGTAAGGCCGCATGTAGTTCAGGAGGCCAGGGACATCATCCAGAGACCGTGCTGAAGACACTATCCCATCCACCATACTCCCCAGACCTCGCACCAACAGACTACCACCTTTTCCATTCCTTGGACAACCATCTTTGTTGGAAATCATTCAACAACCGGCTAGACCTCGAAAAGGCATGCATGGACTTCTTTGCATTCAAGACTTGAGTTTTATCGCAATGGCATCACACAGCTAGCCGCTCGTTGCCAAAAGGCATTGGATGCCGATGGTGATTACTTTGAGGATTAGCGGTGATTATTATTTGTTTTATAACTTTTTTTCTCTGACTGTCCAAAATGGCAAGAACGTTTTTGATTAGCTTGTACTTCAAAATGGCATTACTCTTTCCTATAACGTGTTTAGAAATACTTGCATGTCCTGTGCACTTCCTTCATAGTGCAACATTTTCAATGGCCAATAGAATAAACTGTATTTGATAAATTTACATTGATTAATTTCTGTAATACAAATATTTTAAATGAAAAATTTAAATAAATATATACTTTGAAATAAAAATTAACAAAAAACACTTTCTAATAATTTAGAGCAATGGTGTCTAACCTTGTTGTGCTCACCGATCGTTTTGTATGTGCTCGCCAGCCCGATTAGGTTCTATGACCAAAAAACATTTTAAAAATAACCATTCATTTATATTTCTTAATTGTTAAAATATGGTAAGCATTTATAGTCATAAGAGATATCTTGCAAGACGTTATAAAATAACTGGTTGTTGTCTGATGAACTTGATAACAAACATGGAATCTTATTGCTTCATTCACATGTCAGATGGCTCAGCCAAGGTACTTCAATGATTTGCAGAACTTCTTTCACCAATAAAGCAGTTTTTGGATTCTGGAAACTAAAAGTTATAAAGAATTGGTTGATAATAATAGGTTATCCGATCTGTATTTTCTCACAGATATAACAACAGTGAAACTGAACGAAGATTCCAGGGAAAAGAAAAAAAAAACCTTTTCAATTGACTGGGACTGCAACTGCTTTTCAGATAAAGTTAAATATGTAGATGAATCAAATGAAAGGAAAAAAATTCACCCATTTTCAGAATTTATCATGCCACAAGGCGATTGAAATGGAGAAATACTCAGAGAACCTGAATACACTGGAAAATAATTTTGAACTCTGCTTCTCCAATTTCCATAATGTTCAACCAATATTATTATTCATCTCAAACCCATTTGCCAAAATTAATATTTCAGATGTATCACATAAGATTGGAAATATATTAACAAAAATGTTGATGTTTTGGAAATGTGCTCGCGATAGGCCTAAGGTTGGACACCACTGATTTAGAGCAATAGACAAATTTAGAATAATGAAGATTTTGCTAAACCATTCTTTCCAAACTTCTTTAAGAATCCATCATTGTTTAAATTGTTATCAATTTAATATGAAAAATGCCCATATGACTAATATGATAGAATAACAAAATTCTTTCCTCCAATACACGTTTTTGTATTTGCGTTCATGGTTGGAGAGTTGTTTTAACACTGGATGAATCAACTGCTGTATTTCCCTAGTCCATTCTCACTTGGTTAGCATTTTATAATTTAAAAACCCATCTATTTGTTTAATTCACTTGTATATTTGGAATATTATACATCTGCAAGGGAGACTGAAGTAAACTACATATAAAAGTGCATAATTATCCTAGCAAAATACTACAGACAATATATATCACCTACAAATTAATGTAAAATAAATGTAATAAAAAATAAGAGCCTAAGGCAAAGACTGCATTCTGTAACAAGAAGTTATAATAACGGATATAGAAATTTCTGCACTCATAATTACGAAAACAACATATTATGCTTTCGTCTTTGACAATGACTACAAAACGCTAATTTTCCAATCACTGTTACGTTAATGGCATAAAACAGGAAAGAGGTAGATTGAATAAATACCAATTTTACATATGATCTAATAATTTCAAATATAGCTTTAGCCACACAAAACTTTGTAATTATATGAAAAGGTAATAAAATTCTTAATTATAAGGCACATCTATAAATGAGTATAAAAATGATCAAACAAAACATATTTTATTTTATATTATGTAGATTAACATTTAGATGAAACAGAATTATTGATACAGGAGCAAACCACACACTAAAATAATTTCAAATTTTTTGAGTTTCAGGATGAAGATTTTCAACATCATATAAAATTAGCAGTCATTCTAGACAAACAATTCCCCCTCCCACAGAGATAAGGTTTTATTTTGAGCAAGAATATCAGATTATTAGTTGTTATTAGAAAGTTAATAAAAACATTTTTAATTACCTTGTACACTTTACCAAATGCTCCATCTCCAAGTTCACCAATAACTTCCCAGAATTCATCAGGATTTTCATTGAAACGAATATTGTGATAAACTCTCCTCCTTTTGGATTCTGAAGCAATATTTCCGGCTATGTGAAAAATTTTCTTGAAATTGCTAAAAAAAGACATTTCGAAAACTTATACTGCTGACCAGAAGATACTTATGGAACTGATGATTACTTCACATGTCAGAGAAACTTAACTTCACTATTTACATATAAATAAAGAACAGGCATTTTATGTGATACAACAATGTATAAAAGGTTTATTATCACAGATATTTCAAGAAGCAACAAATGTTATTTAACCAGTACAACTCGATACAAGCATACATTATTCCTCGTAGCATCATACATTGCTTCATTATGAATTCAGTAAATGACCTTGAAATTGCCTTCCTTTTTGCACTTTCTACTAGGAGGAAGATACTAATTTATTTTCTTTCCCAAATTTTCTACGATATTTTTAGGCAAAATTACATCTTTACGAAATCATTTGAAATTAGTGGTTTCAACCGGAACACGGTACAGAGGCTATAAACAAATTTCATTCATGTTTTCCCACTCCTTTCAGATAATAGCATTGATAAGCAATTCCTTAACTAAAAGAATTTCGAAAAAATCTCGATTCCGCATAGGTGGTACTTTTCCACCTGATAGCTAGGATGGAATGTTGTTCCGACGTCACAAACACAACTTTCGTGTCACTTTGAAGCTTTACGACCTGAGGGCGAAAATAAATATTGGATTGATAATACACTAACAAATTTTCTGAATATATTAAGAAACCATTATAGTAAGCTTCCAAATTCCAATGCTCTTGAGTAATATCTCTACATACATTTGGCACATTATAAGACAAAATAAATACTTCTCATAATTTAATATAAATCGCACTCTTACACACAACACCTGCGATTAAGCGCAAGCAACATTAGCACATCATTGCCATATTTTGAATTAAAAGTAGAATATAAATCTATCCACTTGTTGATCACAAGACGAAATAAATATGTATACGTAAAGAATTACAAAGTAAAAGTTTATTTGCTAACAAAGATAAATTTAACCATTTCGTTGATGATGAAACAGATTTGGTGAAGATGAAAAATTCATTCCTTTTTACTCCTTCTACCAAAATCTTTTGAAACAGTTAATTTATCAGATTTGTATGGAAATATTAACTGGAATGGGTTACAACAGGATTTTACCTAAACATAATGATCTTATAACTTGAGGAAAATAGTAGAGGAAATTAATGTATGTTGTGTTACAGTTCTTTATAATGCAGAATATAGTTTCGTAGTTCATGGCCCTTTTACAAGAAAGTCAATCACTGGAAGAAGATATTGGATAAACTTTTTGTTATATATTAAGGAAATTAAAAACCATCTTGTTACGCGTGATTCAGCATGTATTTGAAATCAAAATACATTATTTAAATTAACAATGTACTAGTTAAATAACGAATTCTGGGAATTTCTTTAAACAATAATGTTTATTAATGTATTTTTGTATTTTTCTATTAGATCAAAAATACATGTGTAGTTCATGTGCTTAGTTTTGTTGTGCCCTCTCCCGGTAAAAGTGTTCAAGTACGGCATCAGCGAAGTAGCGTAGCAAAATTTATTTACTTTCTTGAGGAGGAATCTTGTATGTTGATTGTTGGCGCTCTGTGAGCGCGGAGGTAGTGCGTTAGAAATGATTGTAGTTGAAAGTTGATATCGTAATAAAAATTTTTAGTGAAATTCAAGTTTATTTCGGTGAAAGAAAAATAGTTAGTTATCCCATATTGCTTTGCAATTCATGTATGTAGTCATGGATGTAACTCCGGTCTTTAAAGCATGTGTCAAAACATTAAGGACACGAAATAAAGCCTTAGGTTTGGGTGACAAAGATAAGTCAATTTTGTCTAGCAGTTCTAAAGGAAATAAAAATAAATCGGAATTTACCGTTAAAGCTAAAGAAGTGGTAAGTTTCTGCGCTGTAGCGCAAGCTTAAATTAAAAAAAAAAAAAAAAAAATCGACAGAGAGCTCAGTTTCGGAGAATTTTGAAACTATATTAATTTGCAGTTTGTAAAAATATATTATAATATGCAATTGAAAATACGTGGCATAAAATTTAAAGTTTATTTTGTTTTCTTCTTAGCTGGGAACAATTACGAAGATGAGAGATTTTTTATTGGATCATCGTAAAGATTATATTAATGTCAGGTAAGTTCAAATTCCTGTACTCACATTAGTTTCTACTGCTCATTGTTTGGAATTTAGACAGTACAGTTGTTTTCCACTCAGCTTAATTTTAGGGTAAAATTTATTGCAGATTGAAATTAACGCTTTTATAAGTGTTATAACATTACTATCCACTTTAGCGGTTATGATGTGTGTTGCATTCTAAAATTCTAGTATTTACTCTTGATATTATGTGTATTTTACATGGAGTTAGAGTTCAGTTAGGTTATTTTACTTTCATTTGCTTTTAATATTTTTGTGAAGCATAAGGGATTGCATGATATTTTTAATTACTGTTGCAATTTTGTAATTCTTAGTTACTATCTGTGTAGTTATTACTAAAAAGTAGATATGAACATTCTATTGCATGCATTTAGGCAAATTTGGGTACTGAATTATTTCATTTAAATAAAATACATAAAGTCTATGTCATTTTGATGTCTATGTCATGTAATACATTGTCTATGTCATTTCAGATTTAGCTATTTTCTGCATGTTAAATCACCGGCAGTTTCAGATTTAGCTATTTTCTGCATGTTAAATCACCATTTTAAATTCAGTAAGACAATGTGTACAAATTATAAAATTAAAAATATGAAATAGTGATTTCATATTATAAAAGTGTCCATAAATTTGTATAAAGTTTTGTATTATATAATGATAAAATAATGAAGAATTTGTGACCTTAAGAAAATCAAAATTTATTGAAAAATAGCTGAATATTCATTTGTTTGGTTTATTAAATGTGTCTTTCAATATAAATTTTTAATTTGCTTAATATTTTGTGGTAGTGCTTTCCCTTTAATTTTATATATATGTTACGGTGAAACACCAAAATCTGGAGAATGTTGACTTTCACCAGTGAATGTCAACATTCACCTAGTCGCTTGGTGTATGTCCGAAACATTTTCCAAATGCTCTTATTTCTGACTTAACCAGTAAATGTCGACATTCACCCTGTACTAATGGTGAATGTTGAACATATAACAATATTATATTTTCTTCTCTGTAATTCAGTCATGAAAAAATGCATTTGAGATTTAAAATAAGAATATAAGAACTTAAAACACACAGTATATTCAAAATGAGAAAAGAAAATAATAGAAGCTAAAAACTTACTAAATTATGTGATTCAAATCTTATTTATTGCAACAACTTAAACTATTATGGCACTTTGAATTGCACAAGAGGCCCTTGCTTTTACCACTGCGTTTATTTGTGGAACACTTCCTTTTGCAATGACAACGTGTACATACACTCCTCTCTTTTCGACCTACACCAGAGCATATCTGTGATTGTCGACATGCACCGGTGAGGGTCCAAATGTACAAGAATGTAATGAAATATTCGATCTTTCACGGGCGTATTTGGTGAATATTGACATTCTCCAATTTCGGTCTTTCACGGTAACAGATACACATAATTTCTTGATTAGTTATAAAGTTAACTTGTTCAAGTCCTGTAAATACCGCATCAAGAATTCCCAGTTAGTTGTCGATCAAATTTTTTCGTTCTAACTAACCTCTTACTTTCTTTACTATCTATAGTGATTTCATTCTGAATTTAGAATCATGTGCTAATTGTTTGATGACTGGGACATTGCCATCACAATGAAAAACTTCTGTTACCATATCATCATTTATTATCATTTTAACTTCTGTGACCACAAAGTTCATTAATTGGAAAATTTTACTCTTTGTTTGTGATAGCTGAAAATTTTCAAATTTGCAACTATCATCATAAAACTTAACTAGCGTCCACTATGCATTATTTACAATGTATCATGAAATTTACTAAAGACGTGCTGTTCTGATAGATTTTTTTCTTGAGATTTGCTTCTGTTGCATACTGATTGAGTTAAGGCTGAATTATATTAGCTTTGTAATTTATTATACTTATGACTATTTCATGCAAATGCTTAAAGCTAATCAGTGTCTTGAATAAATATATTCTCCCATATGCTTAAGGCTTATCCAGGACTGGTGCTAGACATTTTGTGGCATATGCAGTCTCTGCAGATATGAAATTCTGCTGTCAGGCACCTTCCTAAATTCTAAAAATTTTGAGTGTCTTAAATTCTGCCACCCGGTGAAGCCACACCATCTTTGGTACAGATTATGGACTTCAGTGAATAACAAATTAATTATTCTTAATTCAAACTGCTAATTGTAATCTTTTGACCTATGAGTATCATTTACGATTTTTTTCCCCCCACATGGAAACTTTTGGTAAATTTCTCCTTGTCAACAATTCAAAACTACGCAGCAGAGTCAGCTAAAGTTTATAATCATAGCAAAGTGTGAAACAAAAGTTTACCATGCTCTTTGATATTCAGTTAATAATGTAAAAAATTAAAAACAAAATTGTTTAGACATTTGAGTAATTTCTGCTGCGTGAGTAATTTTTCATGCTGATAGTTATGTGGTGAGAAAAGCAAAGAATGGTAAATAATGATTTTCCAGATTAGTACTAATGCTTAAGTGAAATTAAGAATTGGGACTGTGCACATGTTTTATTATGAAAAAATATCAAATGCACAAGCTTAAAGTATAAAATAAATTTCTAAATAAGGTTGCTGGGTTGAAGGATGCTATAAGATAATACATAAGTACCAAATTTTTAATGTGACATGAAATTCAAAATTGTAAGATTTAATTATTCAAATTGCTGTCCAACAGCAGTTTCACACAAATTGCTTTATCTCTAAAACTGTATGTCTTATATTAAAAATTTAAATGTAGAATTCAGTTTAGAAAAGTTAAATCTTGCATTTTTTTTTCCCTCAAGTGTTCTTAAAAAGTAATTTTCTGTGTTAAATATGAAAATGTAACTTCTTTAAATCATCCTGATGGAATGGATTTTAGGAAAAAATTGTAGTTCAGCATTTTGTTTGAGTGCAAAGTATTTGAAAAGCATGCATGCTTCATATTATTTGTTTCTGATATATTATAATTATATGCAATATTTTATTATAAATTAGTATGAAGGTTTTTTTTTTTTTTTCCACTTTTAAATCTGTTTGTCTTGCAGTCATATTTTGCATGGAGTATCAAATATGACAGATTCTGACGGATAAATAATAGGTGCCAGCTGATGCGTGGGTGAGTAAAACTTGACTGAGTAGTATTTAGACCTTTATAAATTACAAATGGTTGCAACAATTAACTATGGATTTGATAATTTCTACAACTCCCTCTTCTCCTCTCATTTTGCGTGACAATGCTTGGCCGCATGCAGCGCAAGCTGTGACTGATTTGTTCAAGCGATGGGGCTGGGAAGTGCTTTACCATCCACCATACTCCCCAGATCTAAGCCCATGTGACTATGGCTTAATTCCTAAGGTGAAGGAACCACTTCGTGGCACTTGCTTCCAAACTGTTCCTGAGATTCTTGCGGCAGTAAACCGGTCCATTCAAACTATCGGGAAAAGCTATGAACCTTCACATACTTCCCTGACGTTATAGTTAGTCTTTTTATGTTATATGTACTCACTTCTTGTCTCTGCCATGTGCGTAGAGGCTGTACTTCGAGCAGGAGGTAGTTAGTCATCTGGAAAGCCGATTCGTGCCGATAGCTGATTGGTTGCCGTGAGATGACGTCATGCCTACTTCTGGTATAAGTATCTCGCGTCGCTCTGGCTCAGCCCTTCTAGTTCCTGGGCCAGTTACTTGGGAGTGCGGTTTCCAGCCCCTTTTGAAGGATGCATGCAGTCCGATGAATAAGTTCCTTGGTTCCTGTCCACAAGATGACTGTTCCTGAATAAGTTCCTTGGTTCCAGAGGCTACAGTGTGAGTGACTGCCGTGGGCGGCATCCATGTTCTTCATGAAGGTGGCATTTAAAGTAAGTTAGCAGCGATTCCTCGTGTTCAACTAATGTAAGCGGAGTTAGGCTGGATTTAAGTGTTTTCAAGAACTTAAATTTCAGGTGCTTTCTTGACCATTGATCATGGACTTATTGAATGTGTAGCCAATTTCATTTGAGACCGCATAATTACTGTTTAGGACATTTTGTTTGTATTGAATGCCAGTATTTTTGGAGACCAGGTAAAAAATATTATTTGATGAATGAGTTAAATATCGCGCTTGAATTGTTAATTATTTTTTGTTTTTTTTATATGTTAAAAGAAAACCTTTTTGTCTTGTGCTCACACCTTTTGCTACATGTAATGTTATTTTAACTTTCCCTTGCTTAGCTCATCAAAACGGCCGCTACGGTTTGCGACTTCCACATCGTTGGAAACGGGTTGTACACAATGCTGGCGACTATATTGAAGGACTGTAAAACATGGTGACATGAATCACTTTTGTATTCCTTGTAAATAAATAGTTGCCACTATTAAATTCAACCTCTATTTCTAATTATTAAATTTTATAATTTGTGATAACTACAGGAAGACAGATTAAAAAGTATATAAAAATCTTCAAAATTTTATCAAGTCATTTGAATTTTTGATGCGTTTTTTCTACGTGAAAGTGGGGGGGGGGATTGAGAACAAAATGATATAAAATCTAAATGTAGTGTAAAAAAATTCCTAAAGAAGTTTTTATTAATATTATTATCATTACTAGTATTATTATATAGTATTATATGTATTTGAATTGCTAGTTACAAGAATTTAAGTTGTTATCATACCTTCAATGTGAATGTATGAGTTTTCTACAATACAGTCAAAAGTCGTTAATTCGGACACCCATAATTCGGAATGATCTATAATCCGGACCTCAAAACTAAAAACTTTCTGCGCATGCGCCACGTTGACACATGCGCATAGGCGTTTATGCGTGTGCGTAAGACCTTTAACCCCTTAACTGCTGCGGGCGTATATATACGCCTTGCTCAGCCGATAACTGCCCCAGGCGTATATATACGTCCTTCCAAACTGCTATCATTTGCTTTGCGCTGCTACACCTAAAATTATTCGCAAAGTTAACGCATCGGCTGAGCAAGGCGTATATATACGCCCGCGGCAGTTAAGGGGTTAACGACTGCACATATGAGTGTGCGCAAGTGCAGAATACGTTTTCGCGTGCGCATTTTATGTATAATGGATGTATAAGCTAAAATTATCTAATTATCTATTTCAGTTAATGTTGATGATTGCGTTGTTCCTTAATTTTCGAATTGGATCCGGCTTATTATTTTTTGCAGACTGTAAGAGCAATTTTATAAAAGTAAGCTTTAAACTTTCGATTATATCAAATAGAATTTCCGATATATATTTGTTAATATGTAAAGGATCTAAAGCGAAAGTATGTTTTGAAATCCGAAATCTGTTTATCAATTTCACGCTGCTCAGCGGGCGCGTAATGAATTGGAAGTTGATCTGTCAGCTTTATCCTTATCTTCAGCGGAGATGTTTTTATTTTATTTGGCTTATAATTCCTTACCAAATGTAGTATTTCATCTCAATATGCTCTGTCTTTGATATGATTTAAAACAAGTTTCTCGTCATTATAATTCGCTTCCGATAGCGAAGAAAGTAACAGAGGTTATTGAAAACGAAAAAATTTCGATTGACAAATTAGTCGGTATTCGCAACACAAGCAATTACAGGACTTGAACAGTGGAACTTTGTAACTGAACAAGAAATTATGTCTGTTTATAGAATTAAAAGAGAAAGTATTATCACAAAAACAAACCAACTTAAACAACTTACATTGAAAGAAATGTTTAACAAAGTAAACAAATAAATATTAAGCTTTTTTTTTTTTGTAAATTTTGATACCCTTTAGATCATAATTGTTCTTTATTTCATAAATTACGGTTTCATATTTTTAATTTTAGAATTTCTGCATGCCATCTTACGAGATTTAAACTGATGATCTATAATCCGGAAAAATTGATAATCTGGAATCGCCGAAGTCCCGGCGAGTCCGGATTAACGACTTTTGACTGTACTTTTAATTATTTTTTTATGATGAGATTTAGGTATATTTTTGTTCTAAAATCATTACTTAATTTTTGAACTTGTATATAGTAATTACATACAAATTTCAGTGTGAGTATAAAAAAAGTATTTTCATAACATTTTATTTTAGTTTATATCAGGGTTGACCAAACTTCATGTCAGTAAGAGCCACACATTTGAATTCAGGAATGTTCAAAAGCCGTATCTAGATTTTCTAAAAGCCACAAGTTCATATTTACATCATTATTGAATTAGTGGAGGAGTTTTAGATAGAAAGAAATCCCTGATAACTTTGTAAAAAGAGTCTAAATTAATAACTTACTTCTTTTTGGACACTGAATAGTTTTAATTTCCATATTTCATACATATATTTTATATGCATGAACTGCACAAATTGCCTGCGAGAGCCATATCAGGCTCGCGAGCCGCACTTTGGCCACCCCTGGTTTATATCTAGTATATTTGATTGCATTTGTTAATTAATGTATATGGGCTTTTGGAAAAGTTTCGGACCTAACAAAAAAAAAAGATATTTTTTCTCCAAAATTACATTTATTTTATGACATAGTCTCCTTGTAAGTGTATACATTTCTTCCAGCAATGCTCCCATTCTTTTTAACCCACACAAATAATATGTGGAATCTTTCTCTGTAACGTCTCTTCTTTTGAAGAATCTTTGTCCTTTAAGTGCTTCTTTTAGCTTAGGGAACTGAAAAAGTGATTTTGTGCTATGTCTCGTGAATAGGTTATTTGATCGAGCAGTTCAAATCGTAATTCTTGGATTTTTGCTATTTTTGTAACCGCTGAGGTGTCAGATGGAGCATTGTCTTGGTGAAACAAAATTTTCTTTCAAATGTGGCTGTTTTTCTGCAATTTCTGCCTTCAGCTTATCAAGTAACATTGCATAGTATGCATCAGTCATGGTTTTCCCTTTTCAAGATTATTTATTAAGACAATCCCATGTCTCTCCCAGAAAATTATTACCATCACTTTCCCAACAGAAGGAACAGTTTTTGCCATTTTTGGAGTCAATTCTCCCTTTGCAGTCCACTGTTTTGACTGTATTTTTGTTTTTGGGCTGTAATGATGAATCCAGGTTTCGTGTACAGCGATTCATAGTTGAAAAAACTCTGTGCCAACAGAACGGTGCATATGTTCATTCAGATAGGTTTTCGGTCCAAAGCGTCCAAACAAAGATAACATCCAATGTGCAGCCAGCTCGCATATATCTAAATCTTAGTTCTGTATGTGGCAAGCACGTTCTTTGGACAGATTAATAATAGCTTCTGCTATCTCTCTAAACTTGAATCGATGGTCATCCAGTACCATTTGATAAATTTTAACGATGTTTTTGTCAGTGTCCGCCGATAACATCGCGGGCGAAAACAGCACAAGGTGAAAACTACATGTTGCAAGCGCAAGGTGAAAACTACAAACTAATGTTGTGCTACAAAACATTGCAGTCCTAAAACATTGTCGTTGGAAATATTGCGGTAAAAAATAAAGTATCTACAAATCACCGCATGACGATAACATCGCAGACATGCTTTTTTCAAGTTTTAATAATTGTAAATGGATATTCAAATAATGATTTGTGAGTGCAAGATGTAAAGAAAGATAATTTTTACTTTCACATTTTTTTATTAACTAATAAATTATTGCTGAAAAAGTAAGAAGGAAATTTAAGCATAGAAAATTAAACGCAACTTATAGATTATACTTTTCATGAAAAATTACCAGTAAAAACTTTATAAAAAATGATTTATTAATGGCCTTTGTTAGTTAACTATGTCGGTTTAAAATTATATTAAAGTGCTATAAGTTGCATTAATTTTCAATGCTTAATAGTTTCCTTTCCTTCTTACTTTATCAGCAAAAATTTATTAGTGGATAAAAAATATGGAAGTAAAAATTATCCTTCTTTCCATCGTGCGCTCAGAAATCATTATGGGAATATCCATTTACAATTATTAAAGCCTGAAAAAGCGTGTCTGCAATGTTATCGTCATGTGATGATTTGTAGATACTTTATTTTTTACCACGATATTTTCGACAACGATGTTTTTAAACTGCGAAGTTTTTTAAAAGCTTTATTTTCGACCACGATGTTTTAGGACTGCGATGTTTTTTCCCACGACGTTTTCATACGCGATGTTTTCGTCTGTAACCGTTTT